ACGTTCAAATCACGTTTTTTGCTTCAAAATTCCAAGTCTTTTTTAAATCCCCCCCATTTCTACTTCCAAGGCTGACTGTCGTAACTATGGGTTTCGACTGCAGACACTCGTATTGACCCATATTGACGTCCCTTACATTCTCTTTGAGAAAAACAGAGAAAACGATAATTATCAATACCAGTGTCTATGCGGATTAAAACCACAGTAACACATGGAAAAGAACATTTTTGGTATCTCTCTTTATACAAAGAGAATGAACGGGATGGCAATATCGTTGCAATACAGTGATCGAGTGCCTATCGATTCATGTTCCATATCTTCTTTGACACCCGAGCTGGTGTTTATCTGAAAGAATAAAATAAGTCCTTTCAAGACAACGCCAATTTCACAGAAAGATTGGCAAATATTACAGACTTCTGTATGTAACTAGAACATTGGAACAACTTCGAGTGAATTTATGAATTAACAAGCTGTTGCACGCGACTTCGTTCACACGGTATTAAAAAAAAAAAGCTTAGTAGCGTATATGTTCTTCCAGACTATGTTCTACGTCTATGCCAAATTTCAGCCGGATCCGTTCAGCCGTTCTGGAGATACCTTCAAACAAACATCCATCCATCCATCCATCTTTCAATCCATCAATCCATCTAAACATTCGCATTTATAATATTAGTATGATTTATTCAAGACAAACTTACCGTTTTCGTTTGTTAGGCATAGCAAAAATTTCGCCAAGCGCCGAGATCATGTTTGCACCACCTGTTGGTGAAATAAAATATTAGAGTCAAAGAATTATTATATTTTAGAGTTTTATAAATGTTCGTAATTAAATTATAGTATGATTCAAAGACTTACTGTTTTTGTTTCTTAGGTATAGCAAATACTTCGCCAGGCGCCGAGTTCATGAACTATCCAAGCCAACATTCCCGTTTGCACCACCTGTTGTTTAAATAAAATATTAGAGTCAAAGAATTATTTTAGAGTTTTGTAAATGTTGTTAATTAAGTTATATCGGTGTCATCGATGAGTAACAGTACATAGCATGCGTATCTATTTTTTTACTACCACGTAACACTCCTACAATACTATTAAGAGAATGTTTATCTTTGAATTAACGCATAATATATAAATACATAAATAAATAAATACATAAATAAATAAATAATCACGTAAAAAAATTTTACGTACTAAAATAAAACTAATTTGTAGTGTTTAGCGAAAAAACACTATTTTATATTTGGTGTTTGAGTCGCACCTATTGTAAGATTCAATCACCAAATTAGGTAAAAAAAAAAACAACCCGATTGATTTGAGGGTAGTCGAAAAACCACAGATTGTTTAAAAAGTAAATAAACATTTTGTCTGTGCGCGATCCAAAAGGTATAAACGGAGAATGGACGAAGGAACAAGAGGAAAAGGGAAAGAAATATTAGCCAAATGGCCAATGGGCCACTAAGAAGTGGCCAATTCAAAAATGTTGTTGCCGATTCTTTCACTTCATTGTCAACATTCATGGTAACGTTCAAATCAGTATATCATCAGTTCACGTCAGAGCTGTAATTAGTATAGCTGCAAGCGAGGATATGTGTTTGATGCATTTCGATGCTTCGACCGCTTTTCTCTATGGATTATTAGATGAAGAGATTTTCAT